TTCACCATGCACTAAACTAAAACTGAAATGGATCAAAGATGCAAATATTAAAAGAGAAACAATAAATCTGCTGGAAGATAGGATAGGTAAAACTCTTGAAGACATTGGTATAGGCAGACTTTATGAACAAAACCCCAATCACACAGGAAATACCACAAATAATTAACAACTGGGATCTTATTTTATTAAAAAGCTTTTGCACAGCAAGAGAAACCACTAACAGAGTAAAGAGACAATGCACCATGTGGGAAAAATTTTTTTACCAGCTGTTCCTCAAAGGACTAATATCTAGAATATATAAACAACACAAAAAAAGAATCAGACTCTCCAAATTTGAAGACCCAATCCAAAACTGGGCATCTCAGCTGAATACACACTTCTCAAATGAATACAAACAGCAAATAAATATATGAAAAAATGTTCAACATCACTGGTCATTCGAGAGATGCAAAGTAAAACAACACTGCGGTTCCATCTCACCCCAGAAAGAACGGCTATCATCAAGAAATCAACCAGTAACAAATTCTGGTGAGGATGTGTGGAAAAAGGAACCCTCCTCCACTGTTGGTGGGAGTGTAGACTGGTGCAACCACTGTGGAAATCAGTGTGGACACTCCTCAAAGAACTAAAACTAGAGGGTCCATTCAACTCAGCTACTCCCCTTTTTGGTATCTTCCTGAAAGAATTAAAAGCATCACACCACAGCAATACATGCATACTCATGTTATAGCAGCAGTTTGTAATAGCTAAATCTTGGAGACAGTCCAAATGCCCATCTACTGGTGAATGGATAAGGAAGATGTGGGTTTTGTTTTTTTTTTAGTACTACTCTGCCATAAAGAAGGATAAGCCTAAGACATTTCTAGCTAAATGGATAAACACCGAGATCATATTCTCAAGTGAAAAGAATTGAACACACTTTTAAATATGCACTGTTTCTCTTGTGTGAGAGACTGAAAGTGTAAACAAGGGCCAAATGTATAATAGATATTAGGATGTGGGAAAAAATGTTCAAATGAGAAAGGGAACAAGGCAAGGGGGGACAGGGGATGTAAAGAAGAGACAAGGAAAAAGAGAAGGAAAAAATGGAAACAAAGCTTTGGAAATAGGGAGGGGAAGTGGGGCCAGAGGGATGGCGGGGGAATGGGAAAAAAAGCCATAAGATGTATGCTGTACAGGTACAAATTCCCTATGATGAATGCTATCATTGTATATATCTAGAATGCACCAATTAAAAAAAGCAAGGAAAAAAAAAAGAAACTGCAATCCAGGTATGGCTGTGCATCCATCACCCCAAAACTGGAGAGGCTAAACCAGGAGGACTGCCCTGAATGCCAGGCCACCCCAGGCTACATATTACATATTGGTGGCCAGCCTGAGCCACCTAGTGATATCGTCTCAAAAAACCAAAAAAAAAAAAAAAAAACCAAAAAGCCCAATCCCCCACACAAGAAAAATAAATTGCAGCTGGCATGGTGGTGTACACCTATAAACCCTGCACTCAGGAGGCTGAGGCAGGATGACTGCAAAGTTTGAAGCCAACATGGGCTGCAGAGCAAGACCCTGCCTTTAAAAAATAGAAAATACTGTAAATTCAGTCCACACAGACTTCATAAATTACCTACAAATCTTTAAAAATGTCTTCCTAAGTATTGTTAAAAGCTTTTAACCATCTGAATAGGTGACCAAACTTACCCTACTTTGTCAGTTGGATTCAACCATTTGTTTGATTTTTGCTGGTGTGGGGGATTTAACTCAGGGTCCTTGGATTGAAATATATCCCAGAACTATTTTTTAATTTTTTATTTTGAGATAGGATCTCCTATGCTGCTAAGTTGCCTACACTGGCTCAGACTTGTGATCCTTCTGCCTCAAACTGGTGTTAACAGTACTGTGTTTCACTGTCTCATGACTGCGGTTCTAAAATGACAGCTTTACCATGTGTGTACATGCAGCTGTATGTATTTATGCATGTATATGTCTTACATGTTGTGTCCACATGGTAAAATCCCTTAAGGAATTTTATTCAAATGATAAATGAGCTCTTCATAAAAATTATACCTAAAACTGTTGAAATATATAATAACAAACTCAAATGGCTTTTAGTTCACATGACTAAAGTAAATCTTTGATAAATAAGCTGGCTTCAAATTTGATAACAAAAAAACCCCAAAATTTGATAAAATAAAAATAAGGATGTCAATATTGCTAGCACATTTCAATGCTGACCAGACAGGGTTATATTAATCTCTGCTAGATGTTTTAAAGTCATAAAGCTAAATGACTATAAAGAAATCATTACAGCAGACTTCTCAGCACAAATCTGTAGGTCAACACCACCATTTACATTCTGTAAAAACAGTTAACAGGAAAATGGGTCCGAATGATGACTAGTTCTCTCCCATCCCGTTCTTAATGTTATTTTTAAAAGCAGAGATACAGGCAACAAGAATATGTCACCCTTTCTTGTGAGAATTAGCACTCCAGCAAATCTGGTTCTTGAGGTTCTGCCCGCCTCTCCCTTTATAGGATATAGCTTAAGAGAATGGATCTTTATCAAGCACAGGACATTCTACGTGTTGAACAGTCTCTGGGTGGTTACCCTCTCTTGTGGTTTCTATAAGACATGTAATGGAGGAAGCATACTCTAAGTAAATACAGAAATGTACTTGGCTAGTCAAACTTTCCTCTGGATACATCTATACTCAAACACTACTTATCTTTAGGTGTCTCCCCAATACTTTTTTTTTGAGACAGGGTCTTGCTAAATTGCTGTATTGGCTGGGCTGTGCTCAAACTTGTGATCCTCCTGCCTCAGCCTTCCAGATGCGAGGATTACATGTGCCATCACACCCTGCCGGATCTTATTTTTTAAAAGATATTTATACACTTTACAAAGAGATGGTATTAAATCGTCATAAACAGTTCCACTGATAGACAAATACCACCGTACACTGCACTCCCAATATGCTCTCATGGCTGCAGCTGTGAGGTGAGCACAGACTCTCATTCTGCCACTGATGTTAAAAAGTCCCTCAGAGATCAAATGGCTTTGTTTTACATATTCATGGTGGGAAAAAGTAATCCATCTGCTCAACCCTTTCTTAGAGGTGAGCTTTCACCTGCATGTCCTGATTTTTAATTTTAAACTCCCATCTTTCCCCCTTCCTGCCCACCTGGCTCTAGAAATTGAATCCAAAGCCCTTTGCACGGAGTTCTGTCCCTTGTTTTTTTTTTTTAAGTTTTGAGAGAGGGTCTTACTAAATTGCCCAGGCTGGGCTCAGATGTGCAGACAAAGCTGGGATCACAGGCGTGGGCCACTACGCCTGGCTAAACCCTATCTTTTGTGGATGCCTCTTTTACTCTGCATTTCTGTTCAACTTACTAAGTCAGCATCATACTCACCGAGTTCAAGTGTGTGTCATTTCCCAGGGTGGTGTGACATGAGCTGACAGAAGCCTATGGCGCTCACCTGGTGATACAGAAAACCCAGCCCCCGACTCTGACTTCTCCATCCAGCACAGGGTCCTTCCAGCCTCTTCAAGAGCGTCACCGTCAGGGCTCCTAGTGCACACACACGGGGAAGCGCTAATGCTTCCGCAGCAAGCTCGCAACACTGCCTTGATGTGTGAATCAGCGGGCCCTTCCGGGCCCCCTGCCTGCCCTCTGCAGCTGTGCTCAGGCAGCCTTTCCTCTGCTCCTCTGTGGACCACGGCCCACCCTGGGTCTTGTCCTTATCAGTACCTGTTTGCAGTACACGAAGCCCACCTTCATCCTAAAGAGCAGGTTCACGCACTTAACACATCTTGATTCTTTTTATTCCCCACCCCTCCCCACCCACCTCCATCTCTAAGTCCCCTGAACTGTGGATTTTCTGCCACAAATTTCAGCTCATTCCCCATACTGTACATGTTCACTTTCTAGAAACAAAAGATTTTGTAGAGTTTGGGGATGGAGTGAGGGGATATACTACACACTCAAAAGCAGGTCAATACAAGTAATGTCGCTTTTTTAATCTGTGACTCAGTTCTGGGGATCAAATCCAGGGCCCTGTGTGTGCAAAGCACGAGCTCTCCTACTGAGCTACACTCTCAGTCCAACCATTTAAAATAATCCTCCAACATGTGAAACTTGTTTTGATAAGCTTTACATTAATGTGAAAGATTCTAGAATAAAAGATTTCAGAAATTAAGTAGTCAGCCCTTGGTATCTATGGGGGTACTATACCCAAATCCACAGGTGCTCGGGTCATTTATGTAATGTGGTATTGTAAAAGCCAGGGATAGTGGCTCCTGACTGTAACCTCAGGACTCAGGAGGCTGAGGCAGGGGGACCAGATGTAGTGAGATCCTATCACAAAAAAAACCCAAAAAACAGAACAAAAGAGTGGTATTTGCACATGATCCCTGTACATACTTTAAATCACATCTAGATTATTATTTTTTGTTGTTGTTGTTTTTCTCCGGTACAGGGAACCGAACTCACGACCTTGCACTTGCCAGGCAGGCGCTTTGCTGCTGAGCTAAATCCCCAGCCCCCACACCTAGATTATTTATAAAGCCGTGTGAGTGCTATGTAAATAGTCGTTACACTTGCTGGGTGCACTGGTACATGCTTATCATTCCCCCTCCTTTGGGAGGCTGAGGCAGGATTCCAAGTGTGAGTCCCATCTCAGCAACTTAGTGAGACCCTGTCTCAAAAAAAATAAACAGGAAGGGTTGGAGGTGTACCCCAGTGTGAAGGCCCTGGGTTGAAGCTGTCAAAAAAAAGTTGTTACACCGCACTGTTGAGGAATAATGGTAAGAATTACAGATAGTTTTTTTCCCCTAGTTTTGAACTGTGAATGGCTGAGCCAACACTGCACCTTCCAGAGGCGTGGCCTGCCACCCCCTGTATCACTTTGTTATGAGGGGACAGAAACGAATAACCGTGTCCTGGTAGTGCTGGTCATCCCTCAGCGTTCCACACAATGCTTCTGTGTAAGAAAATTAACACAGCCGGACTCATGCAGTCTTTATTGACTTGACAAATACAGGAAAATGTGCAATCATCTATCAAAATTATATTTTACCAAGATTTTGAAAGGTATTTATTTTAAAAAGTCGTATTCACAAGTCTATCTGAATTCTGTCCAAAGCAGCATCCACAGGAGCAGGATCCAGGCAAAGGCTGCACGAGCGCGCGACCTGCCGAAGCCCTCCTCCACGGCTCCCATCGCCGGCCAGACAGACCTATACTCTGCGCAGCCGGGATGGGGCTGCCTCCTCAGCGGTCATGTACTTCAAAAGAAAAAGTGCTTTCTGGGAAGTCTTTCCCACTACCCAGACAAGCAGAAGAGCCAGCACCGCATTCCAAGGCCAGGGTGGATCTAGCATCCAGTTACCAGGCCCCAGGAGATGGCTTTGACATTCAAGGAAGGGTTCATCTCAGCACCGGGGTGCTGTGTGTCATGGAAATCTGAGGAGTTCCCTACAAGGTAAATGGGCTGTCATGAAGAAAACATGCAGGTGATCCTGAGACGTGGGCTTGATGAGGGTTTTACTGAGCTCACTTGGCTCCAGTCAGCGATTTCAATGAGGGCTGTGAAGGGCTGAATCCACCATGTTCAATCCGTAGTTTAGGCAATTTGAACAGCGGTGCGATCACAAGCATCACTTCCAGACCCAAATTTACAGTGATGATAGGGCACTGCCTCCTTCTGAAGGGCAATAATGAGTGTCTGGTTTTCAAGTCTCGGCCAAAACAGCCTTCAGAGCGCACTTGGAGGCAGGGAGAACGAAGACTGGTCCTTGCACACAGGCTGCCCAAGAGCAAGCTTAGCAAAAACCAGTCCCTCACTGAAAGGTCTGGTTTCTGACAACAGCCAACTTCATAGCGTCCATTTTGTAAGCCCGCGGTAAAGTTTGTGAAAGGCGGTTACTGACAAGTTTCAGAGATGTTAAAGAGGCTCCCGCTGCATTCTCACAACGTATCCTATGCACCTTTGCATCCTCAGACTGTAGCACCATGCCTGGCACCTGGAAGACAGCAAATCCTTTTAAAGTGGTTTCTGAGCTCTTCCCCAAACTGAGTTTACGTGCTGCTGAAGCGAGCGTATGAGCTCTTCTCCTTACAGGGTCAGTCATGAATGTCACACATGCCAAGCTCAGCTCTGGGCGGGGCAGCGGTGGCAGCTTCCTGTAGATGTTTGACTCGGAACACCTTACCTGGTCTTCCTTAGTTTAACTTCTGTTTCACATCTACACAGTGTGATCAAGAGTATGTATTAAGTTGTTTGAGGCCAAGGAAGAACCAAGAACTAAACATTATTCCTTTGGCCATCTATTATGGGAAGGGCTCCTGAAAACCACAGTTTTAGGAGATCTAAGAGTTTAAAACAGGAAATGTAGCCTTTTTAGCTGTTGCTTGCCCAGTAAAGTTGGTAATTTGTTTTTCTTTTGCAGTGCTGGGAATTGAACCCTAGCACGTGCTAGGCAAACGCTATTTTCTTCCAGGTCACTTACAAAATTCCTGCTCTCTACTTTTTCTTACTGAGCAATGCACTCAGAGAACTATGACCCTTGGACCACATACTAACCAACTGAGAATCACAAGAGCCCTTCCCCCGCACAACTCCACGGGTCTTCCAGATAGCGCTGGCATTACTCCGCCGGGCACAAGCTCCTCCACGCAACCCCTGGTCCTCAGGCCAGGCTGGCCAGGCATGGGCTGCCTCTCTCCCACCGTTTCCTCCCATTTCACCAGGCAGGGTGGCTGGCCTGGCTGTGTTTTACTGTTGGTTCTGCCCTCTGACAGCCATCCCTCCCGTGTGTGTGAAGCAGATCCTCTGCAAAATTGCTGTTGTTGTTTTCTCTGTGGCAGTTTTTCATGGTGGAAGACAAGCATCGTGGTGTCTCAGAAATCGAGATGTGGTTCGAACTTGAAGAGACAGGGTTATTGCCATCTTTCTACGCAGGACAGTATATAGGCTGGACTCTCTCACTCTCACACACACACACACACACACACACATCCTCTTGGTCATGAAGGATACAACACGCTTGGGACCCTTACACCAATCAACTACTGTAGGTTACAGCTCCCAAGATGCCTTGACTCACAGAAGGCATGCAGGTGGCCCTGCTGCCCCTGTGCTTTATAGACTGGGCTGACGCCCACGCTGCCGTCTGACAGCAGAAAGGACAGAATCTCGGAAAAGGGGGTTAAGGAAGCACAGATGCGAGGACCCACTACTGTAAGCCCCACTCTTTCCTTGCACAGCTCTTACTTGTCTTGCTCTTCTCAACAACCTGAGGTAAGCCAGCTTTTCCTGACACTCAGGTTAGTACTAGCGCCCCACTACTGAAACTTTTTCTCCTTGAGGTACTGGAGATTGAACCCAGAACCTCTCATACACGCCAGGTACTCCAGCACTGAGCTACATCCCCACAACTGAAAACAATGTTCCAAACTTGCAAGAGAACCCCCAAGAGGTCAAATGGCAGGCGGGAGGGGGAAGCAGCAGGCAGAGAGAAAAAGCTGGTCTTTCTTCAGCCACAGGAAGAAACGGGTTCTTATAAACGACCATGGCGGAGGGTTCTCCGTGGTGGAGAATGTCTGTGCCTCAGCGCTCACTTCGCGGTGCTACAGGCTGCCGGCGGCCCTTTTGAAGCGCTTTGCCTGAGGTACAGTCTGGACACACTGTCACTTCAGCCAGCGCCTCCACTACCCAGTTCTCGGCACACAAGCACACTGAGAGGAGGACAACGTACCGGGGCCACCGAGGGCCCGCAGTAAGGTTCGTTCCGTCACCCAGCCGCGAGCTCACCGTCCCTTGACTGGGGGCTCTTCCCGCTCACCTCAGCAGCTAGTTCCTCCGACTACCTTCTCCTGTAGCTCACCAAGTGAAAGAACAGCACCTCTAAATTTTCGCTCTGTACTGACACAACTGGTTCATAAACTTATAAACCAGGGTAGGGCTCCTGATCCAAACATTTTATCCCAGGATGGGGAATTAAACCCAAAGGAGTCACATCACAAGCCCTTTCTACATTTTGTGAAAAGGTCTAAGTTGCTCAGACTGGCCTTGAACTAGGGATCCTTTTGCTCAGCCTCCCAAGTAGCTAGGATTTTTTTTTTTCTTTTTGCAGTGCTGGGGCTGACCCTGGGCCTCAGGCACACTAGGGAAGCGCTCTCCCACTACAGTACTCTCCCAGCTCCTAAGTGAAACTCTCACCTCCTGTCAGAAACAAAAGAAAAGCCAGGACGGAGAGGGCTTCACCAGCCATCTCACTCTTCTTTAATTCTACGCTCTCTGGGCACACATCTTATTTGCTACTCAAAGAGTTGTGACAGCAAGGCTGACAGCACTGGGTTGTAACACATTTTTCTGCACCAGATAAAGAATAAAAATTCTGGGTTAACAGGCCCACCTGCTGCCACGTCAAAGCTATGTCCTCTGCTGTTGAAGACAACTGCTGGGGAGGGGGACGAAGGGAAAGACGGGGCCAAGGGGGCAAGCAAATGTGTGAACGTATCCAAAAATTAGGAATTTGGTGGCAAATCCAGAATTTACCTAGGGATGATAAGGAACTACTGAGCAATAGTTCCATTACTTCCAGAAGTTGCTGAATTTGGAACCTGAGGTTAAGACTTCAGGATAAAGCAAATAAGCTCAGACTGGCGGCAGTGGGAAGAAATGGCAACCATACCCAGGAAAGGGGTACTGGGGAGCACTGCTGAAATGGACCAATGCACCTGATGGGGCTCAGAGCGGGGGAGGGGATGTCTTCTTTAGAAATTAAGTCTGCAGCAGAGAAAGTCTGGAAGGGAAAGCTTGAGCCCCTTCTGACCTTTCCATTTGGCTGCTGGGCCTGCTCTCCCCACAGTACCTCCTGGAAACGTTCAGACTTCAATTAATACAGGTTTATTAGGTTGATTTCCCACATGTGGTTTCAGGCAGAGTTTGGTTTAGTTCCAATCACTTCATTCGGCCTCTGGTAATGGTAGTCCTGAGTGCGCAGTGTCGGCAAGTCTCCTGCAGCCAAGGGCCAACTTCCCGGCCTGTGCTGTTTACTTGTCCTTGCCCCTCAAATCTGTAGGTTTTGCACCGAGGGACACAGTCCACCATGATGAAGCCATTTCTTACAGACACCTCCTCCCAAGGTCTCATAGTGCAAGCGGTCAGGAAAGCCCGGAAGAAGCTGCCGAAGTCCAGCCAGGAATTTTCACTCGGTTAGACGAGGACACAGGCAAATCAGTGTCCTCCAGATTTATTACAGTCAAAGGAGAAACATCCACGGGATTCTACTAGCAGGAGGCTAGATATAAAACTGATGGAACGCCAGCTGGTCCATAAAGGGCTGCACAAGGTAATCTGTGGCAAAGTAGAAAACAAGCCCGAAGGTGATGGAGATGGGAAGAGCTGGCAACGCTTTCTTGAAAATGGCGAGGAGCAGCAGGGTAAGGCACAGGCCCTGTGGAGGAGGGAGACAGGAAAAGGCACACACCTGTGAAAGCACTGCGTGCAAACAACTCAGCAGCAAGTCTTGGTTAACTCAATGCTTTCCTCTGGGGTTAAAAAACTTTTGCACCTGCCTGGCAAGCACGAGGTCCTGAGTTCAATTCCTGGTACCAAAAAATTTAAAACAAAAAAAATTTTTTTTTTTTGGCTTTTTGAGACAGGGTCTTGCTGTATAGTTCAGACTGGCCTTGAACTCACTATGTAGACCAGGCCTCAAACTCACACAAATCCTCCTGCCTCAGCCTCCCGAGTGCTGGGATTGTAGGCGTGCGCCTCCACATCTGGCTCCTGGGGTTAAATTTGATAGCACATGTTTCATTACATGTGGAAGAAGAGCCATGAAGCAAAAATGCAGCTGTTGCTTTTTCCCTTTTGGTGCTGAGGACGAAAGCCAGGGCCTGGTGTACGCTAGACGTGTGCTGTGCCGAAACTGCAGCTGCTGCCGCTTTTCCCCCTCCCACTCTGGAGATGGAACCCAGGGCTTTCACACCAAGTTACATCCCCAGCCCTCAAAAAAAATTTTTTTTTGGTTTGGTTTTATTTAAGACAGGGTCTCATAACTCCCTCACTGAGTTTCCCAGCCTGGGCTCAAACTTAAAATCCTCCTGCCTCAGCCTCCAGGAGTACTAGGATTACAGGAGTGCACCACTATACTCAGTAAATATAATTTTTTGACTAAAGGAAAACCACACTGATTTTCCTTCACTACATGGCACACTGTTGATATTTTATTTCCTAATTCCAGGAAAGAAACTGAATCTGAAAATAAGGAAAATGATTTGGAAAAAAAAATTAAATACTAAAATTTCTACATACAATACTGTGTGGGCTTTGGTGATTTTAGTTTGGCTGGTTGAAATCACTGGGGGAAAAAGCACTCCTTATACCACGCAGGGAAAAAGAAATGCTCAAGGGAAATGGCAACACATTTGCCAGTGTGAAGACCACACTGCCTTCCTGTGAGCACAGCAGGTACACAGCACGGCTCACTGTCTACCCTAGTTACTGACACAAGCTACACACTCCGCAGGCTGGGCATCATTTCCGTTTACTGAGAATAAGTGGTTTTTTTCTTAAAAGATACCCCACATGGCTGGGGTGTGGCTCAGCAGAACCCACAGGCCTAGCGTACATGAGACCTCGGTTTGATCCCCAGCCCCCAAAACAAACAAAGACACGATACAGCCTATAAATACTTTCAGAGTCAGAAAACTAACTTTAGAAGGGAAATAAAAGACATGAAAATTCTAACTGGTTATGATCACCGTAATTTGGAAATGACATCACAACATGAAGGCGTGACAGTTCTCACCTCGCTCTCCTCTAACCTACACTATTCGTCTGCAGTACAGCAGTGTCAGCACCACGAGCAGGAAGACACCCTGCATGGGCCTTCACTGACCCGAAGCTGCGGACGCCTCAGGGCTTGCACCGTGCTGAGAACAAGAGGGGCTCCACGCTGCGCTCACAACTGAGCGCTGGCGGAGCCAATGTCCGCGCCTACTGCTGGGCTCCAGGCTGTGGGTCCTGACCTGAAGGACCTGGTGCTCCCTGGAGAACTGATGAAACCACGTAATTAAAACAAACGAAGACCTCCCAAGGCGGAGCTCAGTTTTAACAGCCATAGGAGATTCTCATAAGCAGCCAGGGTGGAGAACTACTCAGTTCAGGCCTGGTTTCGCAGGTCTGCAAAAGGCTTCTCTGGGGCTGGCACACTTGGCCGCCTGGGCTTAAAACTAATGGCCTTGGGGCCGGGGATTTAGCTCAGCGGCACAGCGCCTGCCCAGCAAGCACTAGGTCGTGAGTTCGATTCCCAGTACCAAAAACAAAACAAAACAAAACAAAAAACTAATGGCCTTAAACGGACATGAAACGCAGTTTCACATTGGCAGTCCTGACACAGTCTTACCAGTATATACTTACAATTAATATGGCTACAAAACAGGCAATGGTTGTGTTCCAGTCTCCGCTGGCAGTTGCTGAGGCTTTTCCAACCAGAACACTGTAGAAAATGAAATCTCCCAATCCAAGTTTTACTCCCCCTGCAAAAGCAAAGATTTTTTAATGTAAAAGGAGTTGTCAAAAAAAAGTTGTCATTCTTTGCTCTGATTTCACAATTCAAAAACATGATTCTGAGCTGAGTATGATGGCATACGTCCATTATCTCAGCGACTCAGGAAGCTGAGGCAGGAGGGTCACTTGAGTCTACGAGTTGGAAACCACTTGGCTTTGTTTCTTTTTTTTTTTTTTTTCCGGTACCAGGAATTGAACTCATGACCTTGTGCTTGCCAGGCAGGCGCTGTGCCACTGAGCTAAATCCCCAGCCCTGAGTTGGAAACCACCTGAACACACAGAGATACTGTCTCAAAACACAAAACCAAAAACAAAAATATGATCCAGTACTGAGTACAAAGTCAATAAATTGGAGGTGACCTAGCTCTAGTTATATTTTGTTTTTTTTGGGACAGGGCCTTTGATGTTCTAGGCTGGTCTCCAACTTACTATGTAGCCCAGTCCTGCTTCAAACTTTTAAGATCCTCCTGACTCAGCTTCCCAGGGTGCTGGGATTATACCCATGTGTAACCATGCTCAGCTTTATTAGATTTTCTTTCTCTCTTTTCTTGTTTTCTGTAAAGGAGTTTCAGATTCTTATGCGACTGACTCTGGAGCCTCAATAATGTTGTGTCACATATCATCAGCAACAAACCCTAATTTACATCCACTGAGCGCCTACCTCATACCTAACACACCAGCAAAGCCTCACAAGAGCCCCTGAGCCACTTGCCGAGGCCCCCACTGTTTCATACAATTCACCACTGTGTCAGTGTGTGACCCAGTGCTCGTGGAAAACGTGCAGAGCTGTGTAACCATCATCACGGCCCACACCCCCACCCATCCAGGAGAGACACCCTGAGCCCATTTATAGTCACCCACCCCTGCGGCCCTGGCTCCAAGTGGCCTCTCATCTGCGCTCCAGCTCTAAATGAGCCGTTTCTAGACACTGCATATAAACAGACTTATACAAAGTGAAGTTTTTTGTGGCTGGGTTAAAAGTAGATTTTTTAGAGGTTGCTTTGAAAACATATGTGCTTTTTGGAAACCAAATTCTAGAGTAAAGGGAGATGTCATTGGAAGCATGTCTGGTTAACACCCCTGCAGAGAGGCGGTTACGTGCGTGCTGGATGCTGGGACGCTGAAGAACCTGTTACTAGGCCCAGAAAAAGAACAACACTGAGTGCGAGCTGCGGGGGGAGTAGCTGGGTGTTCTTTGCACCTACTTTCCTCCGGGTCTTCACTGGCGAGGGTGTTGCTGGACAGCTCCTGGACGGCAGCCCGCGACTCAGGGGTCGAGCGATGCGGCCCCAGGTGACTGTCCCGCTGGGCCTCCCACTCCTCACTGAAGCCTCCGTCATCGTTTTCTCTGCCACTGCTCTGTGTCTCGCTTTCTGTGCCTTCAAGAAAAAGTGGAAATTATCACTCTAATATTTAGAAACATTTTTTAATGTCTTTAAGAAAAATGCAAAGCAGCAGTACAACCTGCTATGGTATGAGGTCACCCAGCTTCTAACCCACAAAGGGTGACTGTGCAGTGGCTGCTGGCTCCCCACGCGGGGCCATCTGCCCCTCGTTTCCTGACGGCAGAGTCCCGGCTTGCTCGGTTCCCTCCCCTCGTGCACGTCTCTGGGGGCAAATCCTGACCTGGCCACACCAAGCACGGGGATCCCACCACTCACTCCCTTCCCCTATGGAAGTCTGACAGGATTCCTGCAGGAATCAAAGTCCTGTGGCTGAGGGATTCTGTCTCAGTACAAGCTAATGAGTGCGCAGCAACGTCCACAGGAAACTGTGGGGAAATTTTCTCCTTTCCTCTTTCTGAGGAAGAAACAAACAGCCCCTTTCTCCCCTCCTGCATTTCATGTAATCTGGACATGATTCCTAGAATTGCAGTTGTGACCACAAGGAGCCCCTGGCTGAGGACCACCCCTATATGCTGAAGATGGCACAGCAGGAAGAAGGAAAGAACCGGGCCCTTGTGAACATTAACGAGCCCCCAAATTAACCAACCTCACAAATGCTGACGTAGCAGGACTTCTTCAAGAAAAGAGAATATATTTCTTCTCTAAGGCACCTGAGTTGTTTCTATCCTCCACAGCACAGAGCTCATAATTGCTGGCACAATCCACTGGCTTCAGTGACCAAATACAAAAGGGGATTCACGGGGACGGTGGGCTTCTCTATGGCTGGTCATTCTGTTTTAGTGACTATCAGTCTCACTGAAGACAGTGAGGATGAGCGTTTCTGAGATACTGCCACTCGTTAAAGATACTTAAATACGTAAGTGGAGCTGACTATACTTTCTCTGCCCTCTCTTCTGCAGTGCTGGAGATGAAACCCAGGACTTCATACATACAGTACTAGGCAAGAACTCCACCGAGCCACACCGCAGCCCTCCCTTTAACTTCTATAAAAATAACATGTGTGTTATGGTTTGTGTCTGCATGTCCTCCGCCCAGAGCCTCACGCAGTCATGGGGCAGGCTTTGAGAGTTCTGACTGACTGGGTGTGAGTGCTGCACTGTCCAGGGGCGGACACTCTGCATATGTAAGGGAAAGAGGCTTGCACTTCCCGAGGCTCCTTCATGTTGTTCGTGCTGCTTTGCTGTGTTCCGCCGCCATGAGCTGCGGCCCTCTGCCATGTGCCTCTCTGCCTCGGAGCCGACTGAGTATGGACTGAAACCTCCACAGACTGTGCGCTAAACAAACCTTTCCTTCCTTAATTTTGGGCATCAGGTATTTTGTCTCAGCAAGGAGAGAAAAGTAACCAAGACAACGTGTTCACCGCAGAAGCAGCGTTATCACAAATAGAGAAAGCTTGCGTACTTCAGGGCTCTCGTGTGTACACCTCCCCTGTGAGGGCCCGAAGCAGTTTTGTACTGCTCATTTTCACCTTCCTTTGCTTAAGTGCGTCTCCATAAAACCTGAATGTTAGCTGCTTCAGTTTACAAAATCATGTAAGGTTTATAAATAAAAACACCAGTGTCTAACTGCCTCATCCTTTTTCAGTTCCACCCTTCTTGCTTTTGACTCCTAGCTGTTTCTTTTGGCATTTATCTCCACAATTAATTATGAATAGCATGCTCATGGTGCCAGGTCTTGATGTTTTAATTTTATGTACTTATGCACACCCTCCCCCATGAATTTAACTCTTTCTATTCTCCCATTTATGCTGAGCTCTGCTTTTATATTACTGCTATGCGAAGAAGTATTCACAACTAAACTACTCTGCCATAACTCCCATGTGTAATTACATTTACCTCTTTGGAACAATCTTGTTTTCTCTGGGAAAGTGCCTCATTTTCCTCCTTGACTCTATGTACGACCTATGGCTGGGTTGTCCTGAACTCTCTGATGGCACTCAAACGACATAACCTCTCTGATCTATTGTTTTCCTTGCACGGACAATGCTCTTGGCTCTTCCGTCCCTATCTCTAGCTTCCTCCAACAGAGTGGTTTTCAATCAGAGGTCGCACCTCCCTTGTAGGGGTGTGCAGAAGAGACCAGAATGGAGGAGACTGTGACTACTGCGATGCTCTGAGCCACTACTGGCATTGAGTGAGGGGCCGGGGCGCCATGCATCCTGCAGGAAGGCGAGTCCTCCCCAACGCCCAGGCCTCTCAGGGCAGAGCTCTGCACTCATCCAGCTGAGAAGCTCTGGCCCATCTGGTCTTGTCGTGCAAAGGTCTTCTTCCACTCTGCAGTGAGCTGTTGTTCCCTGCTGTGACTTGGACAGTCCAGGATAAAAAAATTCCCCTACTACAAAAGTTCACAGTAATTTACATTTTTTTGTAGTATGTATCATAACTGTATGAAATATTTATATAATTACACAAATGCTTGTCTGCCTAAAAAGATTACGAACTCAAAACAGGAAGGAATGTCTTGTTCAGTGTATTATCTCCACAGCCTAGCAAGGTACTGGGCACACAAGTGCTCAATCAACATTTGTCAAAAACAAAACAAAGAAACCTTCAATGTACCAAATCATATAAGCATATACACATGTAGTCACAGGTAACATTTTAATTTTCCTGGGCTTGGCACAATAACCAGGCTTGTAGCAATTGCTCACAATTACTTCCTACTTTTCTAGCAAGTCTCCTGCTGGTCCAATGCCACATTGTCGTGCTGCCTCTACAGTGCAGAATAAAGCCTGACGTAGCTGGATCCAAATGAGGAGCCCCCAGTCGCAAGTGCCCCCCTTGCCGTTACCCAGGTGCTCATGGAGCAGTTTTCTTCACTCCAAACTCTCCCTTTGCTGACAACTCATACACACTTTTTCTTTTCTCATTAGTGGTTTTTTGGGGAAGCGGGAGAGGTACTGAGCAATGCCCTCCGGCCTTCATACTGAGCTACATCCCAGCCCTTCTTGTATTTTTTTTTTTTTTTTTGAGACAGGGTCTCACTAAATTGCTGAGTTGCCCAGGCCAGACTTGAACTTGTGATCCTTCTGCCTCATATTCCTAGCATGCTGGTCACTGGTCTTTACTTTGCTTCTGTTTTTTAGGTTCATCATAAGGTTGGCTCTGTTTTCCTTTAAAAAAATTTTTCCTTTCTTTCTTACTACTTATATTGTGCTATTCCTCAATTCTAAGAACAGCCTCTAATTTGTGATCTCCTTTGTATCTTCCTTCTGTAGCATCCATGTTAGGCCTTGCAAGCTGCCATTCTTGGTCATCACTGTTATCCTCTTCCACCTCGAATATCTGACCTTTTCAGTATAACCATTATCACATCTCAAATCAAGTGTATTTGTTACTCTGCTCATGTTGGACAACAGGCTCTCAACTTTATATGTTTGGAGAAAGAGCTTAGTTTTTTTTTTAAATCATAGCCTCCATACCAGTATTATGTATTTAATGGTGTTTCTGCTTTGTTTTTGAGACAGGGTCTCACTCTGTCATTCCGGCTGGCCTCAAACGCCCGGCAGCGGTGCTATGTATTTCAGCCAGGGTGCCCTGACTAGACTGTTGGGCTGGAGGTCTCTGAATTCCTTAGACATCTGTGTGTTCACTGGGGGACGCCACAGCTACTGTAGACTCTCAAAGTAGTCTCTGACAAAAGGAAGGTTAAAAGCACTGCTTTGTGACTCACTGTTTGCCTGTGAGAGGACAATGGCACTGTAAGCAGGATATTCCCAAGCAAAAGCCACCTACTTTGTGCACTGTATTTGGAGTTCTTGGACACTCTTTTCTGGGCCTCTGGGTCTCCTTCAGCCATGTTCACCAGCCACACCATGGTTGCTGTTGGGAGAGACGGAAACGCGTGAACGCTGGAACGTGCGGAAACGGCATGAATGCAGACAGCAGGCCGAGTCTTTCTCAGGAGATCACCGACCTCTGCGATGCTGCCTTGGCAGCCTTCACCACACGTCAGTGTACACTAAACCCTGCAGGGATTCGCTGCTTTCAACACATTAAGAAACAACCCCGAAACAGAATGCTTGCCGTAGTGTCCCCACTGCAGCTGCCGTCCTGAAACACCATCTGCTGTCCTCGAAAAGCAACCAGAAGGAAATCTACTCAGGCCAGGCGGGGGCCCTGACCCGGCCCTAGAGGATTCCTAGAGCAGTGTGGACCTGTCAATGGAAAAGTGGTTCTGGAACTGGATTCCAGGACAAACCAAGACTCATGAAAGCCTCAGATGATGGTTATTATTCTATAGAAGCATGGAATAAATTTCCTTCACCTTATATCTCTTTTTTAAATCTTTAATAATGCTGAACTGTTTATACAAGAAGTAAAAGCAATAAAGATGAAGAGGACAGTTAACTGGCTTCTATGCTCTCTTCATATATAAAAATCTCTATCTCAGATATACAACTAAGAGACTGTCAATACTTTAAAATAGTGCTTCTCTCTTTTATATATTGTAATCAAAATAGAAAATGGTATCACCTCTATGGGGGGGAATTTGGTAACATCTAACCAAACCACATGTGCCTTAACCTTTGACACAAGAATCCAACTTTTGGCTGTTTTGTCTCTGCTCAGACTGCAGATGGAACCCTGGGAAGCTTTACCACTGAGCCTAGCTGAGGAGCTATATCCCCAGCCCTTTCCATGGTCTTGTAATTTCTGAGGTCAAACAAGGTTCATTACACTATAACCCATCTAACTAGAAGTCAGTGTAAGCCAGGCAGGCAATACTCTATTTAAACCCAGATCCAATACGTGTACAAGACTGATGATTTTCCACAGCTGTCCTGGCAATGAAGCAGCATGTAAGTGGGGTCTCAGTTTATGAACTTGATTCTTTCCATGATTCTGGTTGCAAAATGAGTTGGTTGTGAACCGAATCAAATTCAATGGTTAGCTTCAATATTTAAGATTTAAATTCCAGGTTTAAAAAAACCTCTCAGACTCAGTAATTCATGAAATCCTCACAATTTTAGTATTTCATGAAAACAGATTTACCTTGAATCTATCCGATCTACACAGAGGTGAAGGGTCGCTCTCCTTTTTCCTCATATATGCTGATTTATCACTCAGATATGTGAGAATGTCCAATGTTCTGTGATAATTCTTTCTATAGACTTGATGCTATAGATGACTGATATTTTAAAACAACAGAGTAAATGATTCCCTGACACATTTTTTTTTTTTTCCCGGTACTGGGGATCAAACTCACGACCTTGCGCTTGCCAGGTAGGCGCTGTGCCACTGAGCTAAATCCCCAGCCCCTCCCTGACACATTTAACATGGGAGGTTGAAAGTGTGTTCTAAATCCTCGCCCCTTACCCACACTTGCCGTGAGTGGAACGGATTTTCCGTCCTGGTTCATAAGGGGTCAGCTTCAAGCAGTGTTAGCTGCTCACCAGAGACGACAGTTTGCTAACGCTGTTTAGACGTCAGGACTTGCTGACCTCTTGTACTTCCAACCTTCAAGAAAACGCGCCCTCACCTAGCCACAGTCCAGGCTGGTGAAGAAAACAAGGAGCAACGCCACCACAGATGCCACAGCACACAAGGCAATGACCCAGCTGCCTGGGTTATAGTGAGTGACCTTAGAAGAAGAACCCCCAATCCCCTCCTTTTTTTGCTTAGAACTAGGATTTATTTATTGTATTTTTGTTTTATATCCCTTGGACAGAGTAAGATGCTTAAAAAGTGCTTGGTAAGTGAACAGAAGTGAACTATCCAGTCGGGCGTGGTGGTGCAGGCCTATAATCCCAGTACTTGGGAGGCTGAGGCAGGAGGATCGTTGCGAGTTCGAGAGCAGCCTGAGCTACAAAGTGAGCTCAAGGCCAGCCTGAGCTGCATAGCGAGACCCTGCCTCAAAAAGACCAAAAAAAGATAAAAAGACAAAAAAAAAAAAAAAAAAGTGAACTCCAGTAAGTGAAACGCAACACTGGAATATTTGCTTGGGAGAATCACTATTACACTTCCCACGTGTCTAAAGTCTTTATAAAAATTTATTATTTTGAAATAATTTTAGGTCCAAAGAAAAGTTGTAAAAATAATACAAAGAATGTACATATATGCTAAATGTTATTCTGACAGACTTAACTGAAAAATCACACAAATCATAATTCAAAATACACAAATGGATGGAGTACAAAGAAAAGCTCAATCTCTAAATCCTGCTTCCCAGATGGAAGTGCTATTAATACCTTTTCAGTTTCTTTAATGTATCATTGGGCATTTTAAATATATAGACATATTCCTAAGTACACAACCATTTCCTATTTTCTCCTATACAATATTGCATGTATTGCTTTACATTTGTTTTTTTGTATTTAATATACAGTCTGGGGAATTTACTATCTTTTCACTTTTTTTGTCTTTTTGAAATAGGGTTTCACTGTGCAGTTCAGGCTGGCTTTGAGCTCACTTTGTAGCCCAGGCTGGCCTTTTACTTGCAAGGATCCTCCTGCCTCAGCCTCCCCAGTGCTGGGATTACAGGCATATACCATCACACCCAGCTAGTCTTGGGCATTTAAAAAAAATAACTAGACATATGCAGAGCTATGCTATTTTTGTGTGTGTGGTGCTGGGGATTGAGCTCAGGGTCTCACACATGCTAAACACATGCTCTATCCCTGAGTGACACCATCAGCCCTACCATAAGTCTTCTAATGGCTGTAGTTACCCATGATATAAATGTACCATAATTACTTAAAAGTGCCCCCTTTTGATGGACACTTAGATTGCTTTCAGTTTTTCCCCAATCTAAGCGCTGCTTCAATGATCACCTTTCTGTACTTTCACAAGTATATTCCTTAGTATACATTTCTAGATTTTACTATTAACATTTCACGTAATATTCTGTACACACCAACCTAAAATACATAAATAGGCTATAATTTCCAGGAATAACATGCAGGAAGCTCACACTCAGGAAAATGCTGATGCCCAAACTTCACGACTCTCCTCTGCCAACAGACACAGTGAGTACATGATAATCAGTTTATGTTGCAAAAACAGCAAAAGACCCTCGCATCCAGGCGATGGCCGCTCTGACTGTTCCAGGCTTCCACAGCTCAGGAATGACCCATCATCTGCTACAAATGACCTCACGCTGAGTCTCTCCGAGAGACCCAGGTCACCTACCATGTGCTCCCCAACTTCACCTCCCTCCACTTCTCTGTCTCTCTCTTTTGCTCTCCAGTCCTCCTTCGCCTTCAGCCCAGATCCAGCTCCTCTTCCCAAGCTCTGCCTGCACTGTCAGAACCATGTGCTATGAACTCGTGGGGTCTCTCCAAAGCCTTCTTCACTGCCTGCTTGTGAGCCTGAGAAAACACTGCATCTGCCCTCTCCTGGAAGTAGCCTTTCCTCAGACCTGCTCTCCTCTCAAGTCACCACCTGCTGTGCCCGTGGGGCAGCAAGCTTAGGGTCGTGGTGGAAATCACTGCGCTCCTCCTGCACCACCTTTCTGTCTGCACCAGCGCATCCGCTGCCAGCACCAGCGAAATCTAGACACACACACAGCCTTCTCCTTGGAACACTGTATCTGGTCCTGTCATTCTACTGAAATTGCTCTCTGAATGTCACTAATGGTCCCTATAGGATTTCCTTTGTCTTTATTATTATTTTTTTTGACCAACTGAATATTCATTGACTATTCTCAATGGTTGTTGTAGGAAACACATAGTAATAAACATACATCCATTTATGAAATAGCATAGAAACAATACAAACATTACAGAGTTATGGATAGATTAGTAGGAAAATATCAATGGCTGCTGTAATACATGGTGGTATCTTCAAAGTGGTTTCTCAGGAAGACAGAGATAAGCAAGAAAGATCTAACAAGTAGTTACAGCCTAAGGGTTGTGAAAAATAGCGTATTACCTCCTCACCAGTGACTCCTTTCACTGAGGTGTGACGGGTAGAAGGAAGGCCAGGATTGAAAAGAAGGACCGAGAGACTTGTACCTGTGTCTAGCAACAGGCTGTTTTCTTTTTCCTTTATAGTCATGATTACCCGGGGCTCCTCCATGGAGATGACAGTCCGGCCAGAGGGAGAAGGCAGAGTATGCCCAGGGGCCCCTCATTCTTGTTGGACTAACTGGTAGGATGGGTCTCAGCTCTGCAGCCTCCACTTCAGAGGGCAGACCCATCTCCACGGGTCTCCTCTGCATTCAGGGCACGGCCCTGGGGGCTTCTCAGGGCAGTTCCTCTTGAGGTGGCCTGGCTTTTAACAGTGGTAGCAGATAAATTCAGTCGTCAAGTTCTTCTTGGGGCCGTCTTTATTACCTTTGACTTCATGGATTTGAGTGATTTTCCTTGAAACTCTGCTTTTTCAATAACCCAAAAGAAAATAGGCAAAAACACCCCTCGGCAAAAATAAAAAAAACAAACTAAAGACAGAAAAATAGAAACTACAAGAACATACCTCAAACTGATAATGAGGATAACTACATGGTAAACTTTTAAAACTGGGGTTGGGTGTGGTGGCATATGCCTGTAATCCCAGCACTTGGGAGGCTGAGGCAGGAAGACTGCCACAAGTTCAAGGCCAGTCTGGATTACACAGTGAGTCCAAGGCCAATATGAACTACATACCAAGACCCTATCTCAAAACAAAACAAAACAAAACAAAGCAAATCAAGGCAAAACCACCAACAAAAAATAAGATTGTGGATGATAGTTTTACTAAAATTTATCCTTAACTTTTACCTCTCTTCAAGGACAATGTATTAATCTATTGCCTGTATAGTTAAAAATTAAATATGGAAAATAATACTACACCAAGTAAAGTGAGACACAAAGCAAAAACCAATTATACACCTAAGAAATACATAAAAATGTTTAAATTATCAATAAAAGCAACTAATAAACAAAAATGTGTTTTAAGACAAGACGTTATTTTGCCTATAGGATCTCATACATGTGTGCACACACATGCATACACGCTAGCATCAATGAAAGGGTGAGGAAGTGGCACCTTCGTATTCTGAAAAGGAGAGGTAATTTGGCAATATCTATCAAGACTTAAAGGTATATGTCCTTTGACTTAGAAATTCTACTCTAAGAATGTACCTTGCAAAAATATTCACAAATTCATTAATCTTACCTGTATGCGTTGTTTGTGATAGGAACAAAATGGATATGATCTAAATGCCAATTACTAAGGCCACCCATTACTGAAAAACTGTAAGAGAATACAGCCATTTCATATACTTACTGGAAAAAATCAAGAAATGACTATACAAAATAGTCACGAAGAGCCGGTTAACTGAAAAACACTGGCTTTTCCAGTTTTCTGGTATTTTCTTCTATTGTCCTTAGTATTCTCTCTTTGCTTTCTCACTCTCTTTCTCGTAGCTGGCCAAGCTCTACTCAGCATTTCTACTTGTATGTGAATTATGCACTCAGCCGCAGAGCTTAACTACCACCTTTGTGCTGACTCTTTCATTCTGCTTCTCTGTCATCACCTGCTCCCCAAGCACTGGTACTTAATTTCTGAACTCCTGCGGCAACTTGCTTTGTTTTTTTTGTTTTTTTTTCTTTTTGTCTCACTATGTAGTTCAGGCTGGCCTCAAACATGTGGTGAACCCACAGTCTCAGACTCCTGAGTGGGGGGGTCACAGGCATGCGCCACCCCCACAGCTGCTTTTTTCTTTTTTTCAGGGGATTAGGGTTCTTTTTTTCCCTCCTTTTTGGTGGTACTGAGGATTGAACCCACTTGCCTAGCTCTACCACTGAGGTACCCTGTTACATTCTGAAACAGGATATCCCTAAGTTGCCCAGGCTGGCCTCCAACTTGTCATCCTCCTGCCTTACCCTCCCAAGTAGCAGCGATTACAGATGTACATTACCACACCCTACTCTCTCCTGCTGGAAATTTCTATGTGGACAGTCCATACACATCACCAACTAAATTAGATGGTCACAGCTGTACATAAAACTAAGCAGATCTCTAAACAAGAAACATTTCTTCATTACCTTTCCTTCAGGTTTAAAATTGCTCTCCTTAGGCGCTAACAACTAAAGATTCTCTCTGAGAGCTCTCAGCAAATCCTTCCCCTGGTGGCCACTGCCAATAACATAGTTCAGAAGCTCAGTTATTTTTCATCTACATCAAGGCTATGCTCTCAGTGATGTTTAATACGCACCCAGGACCTCAGGACCCACCTCTGCAACTCACCTTACACAATGCTGCCCACTTACTGAGACCATTACTCTGATTACTCTTCTCCTCAAGAACTTTCTATGACTCCTCAGTGATGACAGAATAGCAAACAGATATCTGAACTGAAGATTCCCTTGACCTTACCTTAATCTGCTTTTCCAAATTCATCTCTTAGTACTAACTCTGATTAATATTTACTGAATGATTAGGAAGAGTATGACTCTGAGACCAACCGCCCCCCCCAAAAAATACCCTCAAACAACCAAACAGGCAACACACTCTGAAGAACAGCACAATTCTTGCAGTAAATTAGGGCAACATTAATCTGTAGTATGCATTGCTTATTCATTCATTTCATTTATTTTTTGCGGCACTGGGGGTTAAACTCAGGGCCTTTGCACTGAGCTATAGCTCCAGTCCTTTTTTGATTTTTTTATTTTGAGACAAGGTCTCAGTAAGTTGCCTAGGCTGGGCTTGAACTCACAACTGTCCTGCCTCAGCCTCCCAGTGTGCTGGGATTACAGCATGTGCTACCATACCCAACTTGCTCAATAACTCTTGACTAATAAAATTTTAAACAGAAATAATGGCTCCTTGGTCTCTAGGTATACCCCATTTCCAATCATACTGAAAACTCTTGAACCAAGGGCATGTAATAACAATTTCCAAGGAAATGAAGGATCTGCAGGACTTCCAATGATAGTATATATTTAAGATGAGAGAAAGTACCATGATAATGATCATGATTACATGTGTTTGAGTTCCACAAATTCTAAGCTGATTACTAACTTACTATCATTTTGACATACTTACAGGAGTAAATGAGAGCCGGAAAGAGAGTTTCATTTCTCTCTTGAGCTGTTTCAACCAGCATTCGAAGTGGACCTTTTGGGCACAAAACAGCCACTAAATCTGGAAAGAGGAAAAATTAAAAAAAGACATCAGGTAAAATGTAGTGGGTAAATGTGTAAGTGGGTACCTTAGATTTAGTTTTTAGTTTATAAAAATATAAAAGGGTACTGAATGGACATGGAACTGGTAGGTAAACACAGGATTGGGGTGGGGACCACCTAAACCAAGGAGACAAAGCCAGATAAAAGATGTGCGAGCCGGGTGTGGTGGTGCATGCCTGTAATCCCAGCACCTGGGAGGCTGAGGCAGGAGGACTGTTGTGAGTTCAAGGCCAGCCTGGGCTACAAAGTGAGCTCAAGGCCAGCCTGAACTGCACAGTGAGACCCTGTCTCAAAAAGGCAAAAAGAAAAAAAAAAAAAAAAAAAAGATGTGCAAAAACTGTACTCCAGGCCTGACTGCTATTTGCTCAGTCTACTGTATATCATCACTGAATTCTAGTACTGGAAACAGAATGAATCTCTTTAGTTTGAAGGGAGGAGGTCGAGGTAATAAGGCAGAACTATTCTAGAACACATGTCAACCTGTGGTAAGCAGAAATGGAGTTATTTCTAAACTAAGCTCTAAATAGAAGCTTTACTCAAGGTATTTTTAAATATTTTAAAATACAAAGAGCAGAGAGAGCAGATATCCATCCTTTCTTTTTAAAAATAGTATAAGGCTGGGGGTATAGCTCAGCAGTACAGTAGTTGCCTAGCAGGTGTGAGGCCCTGGGTTTGATACCCAGAACTGCAAGAAAAAAAAAAAAAGAACAAGCAAGCAAGCAAATAAACAAAGTATGTGTACTACTTAATACTTGAAACAAGAGCACACCAAATTTAAACAGAAGAACAATTAATAATTCTCTTCATGATAAAGTTTAGTTTGTTTTTAGTTTCCAGTCAAACACAAGCACTCCACAAATATTCACGTCTCAGAGTACATGCCGAAAACTGGCTTATTTTATAAAAATAACAACAAAGAAGCAAAATGTCTAAATTATTCCCAATTCTACCCCTATTTCCTCCTGTCAATTGCAATTTTTCTTACACTTTCTTTCATGAAGATTCATAATACAGAAAATAATTTCAAAAAGACCGAAAATGTAAAGCTAAATTTGTAAAGGAGTATTAGATGCATTTATATTAAAAAAAAAAACAAAAAAACAACAAACTTCATGTTTGTGACCCCAGAGCCCTCCACGGAGAGATGCAGCAGTGGAGGGCAGCAGCAGATGTGAAGGACTGCACTGCTGTTGGTGAGTGCTGAGGGCTCAGACATCCCACATGACAGAGCAATTGGCTGGGAGCTATCTTGGAGAGGGGCTGGCTGAACTCAGAACTCACAGTGGCTCCCAGCTGAGCTTGGGCCTGTAGGAGGTGTGCTGATGGCTGCAGGCCAAATGAGTCTGGTCTCAGCCAGAGGGTGCAGGTCTGCTGAGATTATCCACTACCCAACAAAAAAGCTACTGCTGGCTTGCTGGGATAGATCAGCACGAACTGGGACTCTGTCTCCACACATTGTTCACCAGTGACAACAGAGACAAACCTGGAAGTTGACTTCTCTCTTTCTCTCTCTTTCTCTGCCTCGTTTCTTTTTCTTGTGGTTTTGTTTTCACTTTCATTGTTTGAGCCTGTTTTTATATGAGTGTGAATGTGGATTCTAGCCTCTTTGTGGTTTGGTTCTGTTCTGTTCCTTTTTTATCTCTTCCCTCCCATCTTCTGCATCAGTTTCCCAAAGTTAGTGTGATCCCTCTTTGTCTTCTGGCCTTATTTCTAATCTCTTCCTCTTCTTCCACTTCTCTATTTTCTCCCTGACCTATTTTAAATTTTAACCTCTGAGGGTAACACTGACATAATAAGGACCTGTATCATGCATACAATTTTTTGGTTTGTTTTAGATTCTGATATATAACTGGGAAATCTAATTCGTGCAGTTAAAGGTGGCAAATTAATGGTGAGCTCAGTTTGTCATTATCTAGGCTGTGTTTGATTCTATTGTCACTGCTGATGGTACCACTAGCCAAAAATGACATAACTGTTCTAAACAGCTGTTCTTCCTGGTATTCCAAGACTGAGACTGACTAAGGGTCATAGAAGATACTGCAGCACAGTGCCAAAGAACCAGAGGCTGGGCCAAACAGGCAGCAACCTCTCATCCCCAACAAACTGAAGAGGTGGATCTTACATCACACTCAAAACCCAAAAACCAGCTACACCTGGAAGATGCCTTGGAGAAGTAGTCATTTCCTAAGGGTTCTAAGTACTAGCAATAAAGTAACACACTACAGGCAATTTACAAGCATCACCCCAGGAATTAAACTAACAAAAGAAAAGAAAATAAGAAGACACTTAAACAAGATGCAACCCCAGATATACAGTTCACCAAAAGCAAACCCAGGATGCAATGAAGTAGGACAATCCAAAAGCCACCCACCTGGCCTCTCTGAAGTGGTAACCACAAAGCAACAGAATGAGGCTCTAGAAAAAAATCAAATCAGAAATAATTTCTCAGATAAGTGCAGAGATGTGTCCACAATGAAAACCATGCTTAGTGACTCTAGAGCAGATACAAACAAAAAAACAGAGGCGCTTAAGAAAATTATGGAAGCCAGGAATGCTCAGTATATGAAAGAAATGGAATCCGTAAGGCAGTTTCAAGCAGATATCAAAGAGAATAAAAATTCCACTGAAACTATCTACAGCAGATAAAGCCAATGTGAGGATAGGATTTTGGATGTAGAAGATAAGCTTGTGGTTAGCAATCATGAAAAGAAAGATTTCTTAAAAATAACAAGGAACCATGAGAAATCAATACAGCAGCTGCTAGATGAGGCGAAGAAGAAGAATAAGACTGACTAGAGTCAATGAAAAAGCAGGAGATAGCACGAATGATACAAAAAAATGGTTTACAGATGTCATGGCAGAAAACTTCCTTGGTAGAGAAAAAGAATTTTACATATAGTAACTGAGGCATATAGAACTCCAATCAGACACAGTCAAAAAAACTCTAGCCAGGCATATCATCGTCAAGATTCCAAAAATTCAACACACGAATAGAATCTTAAAAGCTATTAGGGAGAAGAAACAAATCACCTATAAAGGAAAGCCCATCAGAATCACAGCTGACTTTTCAGCACAAAACCTTCAACTCAAGGAGAGCTTTGAGTGAAGTATTTCAAGTTCTAAAGGAAAACAATCTTTGAACCCAAACTGATGTACCTCACAAAACTATCTTTTAAAACTGATGGAGGACCAGGGATACAGCTCAGTGGCACAAGTACCTGCCTGGCAAGTGCAAGGTCCTGAGTTCACTTCCTAGTACCAAAAAACTGATGGAGAATTAAGATCCTTACATGACAAAGAATATCTGAGGACAATTTATGACCACCAAACCAGCACTACAATGTCTTTTTTTGGCTTTTTTTGAGACAGGGTCTTGCTATGCAGTTCAGGCTGGCCTTGAGCTCCCTTTGTAGCCCAGGTTGGTCTCAAACTCGCAATGATTCTCCTGTCTCAGTCTCCAGAGTGCTGGGATTACAGGCATGCACTACCACACCCAACTCCAAAATGTTTTGGAGGACATTCTAGAAAGATAACAAGAACTACAACTCCATTAACCCCCAAAAAAGCAATTCACCAGGCAAGGCAAACAATTAAACAGAGAGAGGGGGAAAAAAAAGAAGGGGAGCCAACAACAGGTAAATAGCATGACAAGGACACGTCAATACATATCAGTTATAACCATCAATGTTAATGGTCTCAATTCACCAATCAAAAGACACAGACTGACTCAATGGAGCAGGAAGCAAGATGCAACAATATGCTGCATACAAAAAACACACTTACTTCAAAAAGAAATTCACGACTGAAAGCCAAAAGATGGAAAACAATATTTCATGCAACATGAACCCAGAAAAAAGCAGAGGTAGTTATTCTATCTGTAGACAAACTGAATTTCAAGCCAAGACTGATTAAGAGAGACAAAGAGGGACAATATATCTTTGTAAAGGGAACAATCCAAGAGAAAGAAATAACAATCATAAATATATAGTGTACCCAACAATATAAAACAAATAATGGGAATTAAAAATCAAATAGGCACTAATTGGAGGATCTCAATACCCCACCATCACAAAAAGACAGATCAACTACATAAAAAAATCAGCAATGAAGTATTAAAACTGAACCAAGCTTTTGAACAACTGGACTTAGTAGATATCTACAACATCAGAATAGACATTCTTCTCAGCTGCATACAGGACATTCTCCAAAACAGACCGTATACTAGGTCATAGAACATGCTTAAATATATGCAAAGGAACTAAAATTATCCCATGCATATTACCAGACCACAGTGCAATGAAACTGGAAATGAATGGCAAAAGAAACCACAAGAACTTCATAAACACAAGGAAATTAAACAGCACCCTCCTGAAAAAACCAATGGGTCACAGGTGACATTAAAGAGGAAATTAGAAGAGTTTTCACAATTAAATGGTAATGACAATACAAAATACATGAACTTATGGGACACAATGAAAGCAGTCCTGTGATGGAAATTTATAGCGGTGAATATCTATATCCGGAAAACAGAGCAAGCACAAATAATTTAATGCTGAACCTCAAACTTCTAGAAAAAGAAGAGCAGACTAAGCCAAAAGCTCATATGAGGGAGGAAATTATATACATCAGAGCAGAAATTAATGCACTGGAGACTAAAAAACAATATAAAGAATCAATGAATTGAAGAGTTAGTTATTTGAAAGGTTAAATAAAATCGACAAAACCTTAGCCAACCTTATCAAAAAAAAAAAAAAAGGAAAGAAAAGACTCAAATCCATGCAATTAGGAATGAAGAGGGTAAAATCACAACAGATCCTGCAGAAATCCAGAAGATCATCTATATCTACTGAGAAAACTTGCATTCTAATAAGTTGGAAAATGCAAAAGAAATGGTCAGATACCTAGGTACATATGAATTACCAAAGCTGAATCAAGAAGATATAAAAATCCTAAAAAAACCAGTATCAATCAATGAAATCAAAGATATAATTAAAAACCTACCAAAAAAGAAAAGCCCAAGCCCTGACAGATTCTATAAGAAATTTAGAGAAGACCTAACACCACTACTTCTCAAACTCTTAAATAAAACTGAAAGGGAAGCAACACTCCCAAATTCATTCCTGGAAGCAAGCATCATGCTGATACCAAAACCAGAGAAGACCCAACTAAGAAAGAAAATTACAGGCCAATCTCCCTAATGAACACAGATGTAAAAATCCTCAGTAAGATACTGGCAAACAGAACACAGCAAATGATCAAGAAGATTATACACCATGACCAAGTGGGATTCATCCAAGAGATGTGGGGATAGTTCAAGATATGTAAATCAATCAATGTAACACACCATATTAGCAGAGCCAAGGACAAAATCATATCATCTCAACAGATGCAGCAAAAACTTTTGACAAAGTCCAGCACCATTTATGATAAAAACCCTACAGAAAATTAGAATAGATGGTTCTTATTTCAATCTGATATAAGCCATCTAAGACAAACCAAGAGCCAATGCCACACTAAATGGACAAAAACTGAAAGCCTTCTCTTTAAAGTCAGGAATAAGATGAGTATGTCCACTGTCTCCACTCTTATTCAGCATAGTCCTGGAAACATGCACCAGAGCAATAAGACAACAGAAAGAAATAAAAGGAATAAAGATAGGAAAGGAAAAGTTAAATTATCATTATTTGCAGGGGACATGATACTCTACACAGAAGACCCCAAAAACTCCACTAAAAGAACTCCTGGATTTAATAAGTAAATTCAGTAGCACAGCTGGATACAAAGTCAACCCTCAAAAATCAATAGCCTTCCTGTACATGAATAACAAACCCACTGAGAGAGAAATCAGGGAAACAGCACTTTTTACAATAGCATCCAAAAAATGAAATTCCTAGGAATCAATCTAATGATGGATGTAAAAGACCTACACACTGAAAACTATGGTACTCTGAAAAGGGAGATTGAAGCAGATTATCAGAAAATGGGAAGATACCACTTGTTCTTGGGTAGGAAGAGCCAACAAAGTGAAAATGGCCATACTTCCAAAACTGTTATACAGATTTAATGCAATTCCAATCAAAATTCCAATAGCCTATCTCATAGAATTAGAGAAAACAATCCTAAAATTCATTTGGAACCAGAAGAGACCTAGGATAGCAAAGGTGATTCTGAGCAACAAAGGCAAGGCAGAGGGCATCACAATCCCTGACTTGAAATTATACTACAAAGCTACGATGATAAAAACAGCATGGTAATGGCAAAAAAACCGACCCGAAGATCAATGGGACAGCTTAGAAGATGCAAAACAACTCCAGACATACCCAGCTACCTTGTCTTTGACAAAGGTGCCAAACACATTCACTGAAAGAAAGACAGCCTCTTTCATAAACGGTGCTGGAAAAACTGGCTCTGCACATGCCCAAGATTAAATTGTACCCATATCTTTCACCATGCACTAAACTAAATTTGAAATGGATCAAAGATCTAAATATTAAAACAGAAATATTCAATCTGCTGGAAGATAAAATAGGTAAAATTCTTGAAGACACTGCTGTAGGCAAAGACTTTACAAAGAAAACCCCAACTGCACAGAACTATCACAAAGGATCAACAATTGGCATCTCATCTTATTAAAAGCTTTTGCAGAGCAAGAGAAACCAGCAACAGAGTAAAGACACAACTTAAGATGTAGGAAAAATGTTTGCCAGCTGTTCCTTGGGCAAAGGATTACTACTTAGAACATACAAAGAACTAAAAATATCAGAACCCCCAAATTTAAAGACCCAATCCAAAACTGGATATCTGAGATGAACACACACTTCTCAGATGATGAAACATAAACAGCAGACAAATATATGAAAAAGTGTTCAACATTACTGGTCATTTGAGAGATGCAAGTTAAGCAACACTGAGGTTCCATCTCACTACAGAAAGAAGGGCTATCATCAAGAAATCAACCAGTAACAAATGCTGCAGGGGCTGTGTGGAAAAAGGAACCCTCCTCCACTGCTGGGGGTAGTGCAGACTGGTGCAACCACTGTGGAAATCAGTCTGGAGATTTCTCAAAAAACTAGAACTGGAGGTTCCATTTGACCCAGCTATTCCCCTTTGGGTATCTTCTCAGAATTAAAAGCACTGTACCACAGCGATATATGTGCACCCATGTTTACAGCAGCACAATTTGTAATAACTAGATCTTGGAAACAACCCAAAAACCAATCAACTGAGAAATGGAGGAAAAAGATGTGGTCTTTTTATACAATGGAATACTACTCAGCCATAAAGAAGGATAAACTGGAGACCTTTATAGGTAAATAGATGCAACTTGAGGCCATACTCACAAGTGCAATAAATCGGAGGCACATGTGTATACATTGTATTGTCTCCCTCATGAGAGAAGCTGAAACAGTAAATAGGGTCTAAAATGTGCAACAGGTATTGTGAAATGAGAAGAAATTGTGCAAAGGGAAAAAGGAACTAGGATGGGTGGAAGTGGAAAGGAAAGAAGCAAAAAGGGAAAAAACACAAGTCACTTATACTATTGTCCCTCAGTTCATTAAAAAGGACCTTTTGTGCTAATATCTACTGGAGAAATTTTCATGCCCATAAATGTACCATAGATATTGTAAAATGAGAAGAAACTTCAACAGGAAAGAGAAACTGGGATGGGGGAATGGAGAAAAGGAGGAAGGGAAAAGCACAAATAAATACATACATACATACATCACAAGACCATTAAGATAGTTACACTACTAATTTCTCTTAGTTCACTGAAAAGAAAGGTTTGTGCTAATGTTGTCTGGACAATTAAATGCCGACATCGTGTATTCTGTGTAACTTATTTAAAAATAACAATACACAATGTATTAACCATTGTTACCCTCCTATTATCTTGTTTTGAAATTTTGTTCTTTCCTCTTTAAAATTAAAAAAATAAAATAAAATGAATGGAGTGTTTTGTGTCAAGAACCCCACCAGTGCTTTTCTAACATATATTCAATGCCCCAAACTTTTTGGCTTTTTCTGGTACTTGGGATTGAACCTAAGGCCTTGGCAGTGAGCTACATTCTCAACCCCTTTCTTCTTTTGTTTCTTCTCCTTAAATTTTTTAAAATTTTGAGACAGCATCTGACTAGGTCACTGGCGTCAAGCTTATGATCTTCCTGCCTCAGCTCCGAGCACACCGGGCCTACAGGCATGTGCTACTATGCCCGATGTCAACTCACTGAACTCTCAACAACCCTGAAGCAATGGCCTTAACTCACAAATGAGGCCTCTGAAGCCACGTTTCTAAGATCATGAAAACTGTCGGTGGCAAACTGCTTTCCCCCTCAGTACTGGGTCTGGCAAGTGTAAGGTCCTCAGTTCGATACCCGGTACAAAAAAAAAAAAGAAAACTGTCAGTGCTGGGGCTTAGACCCAGGGCCACATGCATGCTAAGAGATGGGTTTTCAGTGCAAATGTCCTGATTAGAATCCATGCATGTTTCCTCCAACTAACCCACTGCTGAGTTAATATGGGGGCAGTAATAAGACACCGTTATAGGGGGCTGGGGATTTAGCTCAGAAGCACAGCACCTGCCTGGCAAGCTCAAGGTCGTGAGTTCGATTCCCGGCACCAGAAAACAAACAAACAAACAAAAAGACACTGTTATAGAACTCAGCCTCAGGAACTGGTGGTCTTGAGGTGTGGCTGGGGTATAGCACTTGTCTGGCATGACCAAAGCCCTAGGTTCAATCTCCAGTACTGGAGAAAAAAAAAGGAAAAAAGATACTTCTACTGAAGAGCTATGGGATGTAACTGCTGAGAGTCTTTCCTAAGCCAAGAGAACTAGAAGAGGAAGGAAACACCAGCAAGGCATTTCTGCGATGAACGAAGCGTCAGCCCTGGATTTTACCATATACTGAAATCACAGCCAAGATGAGCCATGCGGTCCACTCAGGGAGGTACTTGATGAATACCAGGGCCATGAGGGCGCTGATCATAATAAGATATGCCTGCTGCAGTCGGAGGGGGCCTTTCCAGTGAATGGAAATCATTCCAACCACACCGAAATTCCAGATCAGAAGTGCAACTGTAATGTAGTCCACGGCAACGTTATAGGTTTTAAATACTTCCCTGAAAAAAAATTAAACAGATTTAAAAATGTTTATGTGCAATAATTCTTACCAAGGCATTGTTCAGAACTATGGTTCCCAAGTTTAAGATATTCAGATGCTACTTTCATATCTTTACCATGTTCTATGTGAACACTTTTCTCTACACTAATTTTTTCCTCAAGTGGAGCTTATTTTTGTAGTCAACTGGGATTAAAATCCAAGACTTCACACATGCTAGGCAAATACTCTACCCCCGAGCTACACCCCTAGTCCGTTTTATTTTGAGACAGAGTCTCACTAAATTGTTCAGCCTAGCCTGGAACCTGTGATCTGGCTTTAGCATCCCAAGCAACTGGGATTAAATGCATGTGCCACCATACCCTCGAGGCATAAGCCTGGGTCCAAGGGGTCCCATCTCTCATTTTTTACTGTAAATCTGTACTTTAACATAACAGTAGCTGGCTGTGCATCTCAGTACCTTTCCCTGAGAGACACAGGAAGCAAGTTATGTGTTAACCCACTTGGAATGGTGAACAGCAAGGAGGGTGCATGTGTGCAAAAGTGACTAAATGGGATATGGACCCACCTGTATGCGCCATCTAACTGGTTTTATGTATGTTTACCTGAGCATCACAGAGGGTCCAATAGACCCACACCACTCCAGGATTTGTTAAAAAAAAAGTTTTCCTATGATTTTTCTGGTAGAAGTAGCCCAATTCAGTACAATGCACATGAAAAACCAGATTTGCAAGTTTTGGAGCAGGTCAAAAGTGAATCATCAGATTATTAATGCAAGGATGAGGAAGATGATCCATTATGGTAAAATACATGCTTTCGTAACAGAAGAGTGGTGTGGGTTTGTGATGATGATGATGATATGATGAAGATGATAACTTTGACACTGGCCATGTGAGCCAAAGTACCTGTGACAGTGAAGTGGTACAAGAATCAACTGATAGAGACACTGGGAAGACGGAGGACAGGTTGAAGGGAGGGTAGAGGAATGGGGGAAAAAAAAAGAATCAAGTTCAGACATAGGGAATTCAGACCTCCTTGATTCAGATGACAAAGAAAACAGTAACGTGAGTACATATTTGACTAGGCAAAATGTTGCAAAATGGAATAATCCAGTGTTAGATCTAGGTTTGAAAATATAGTGAAGCTCCTGGTAGTGGTGAAACGTATTGGACAGAAAGCCAGCACTGCCATTCAATGTTGGAAATTTTAACAGATGAAATGCTGCAAGATGCTATGAAATACATAAAGGCTGAAATGCAGTAAAACACTGTATGTACTGACAGCCATATTAAAAAAATGTACTTATTATGACACCTCACTTGCTGAACTGAAAGCATTCATGGGTCTTCTATACTTAGCACCGTGTTTTTGTTTGTTTGACCTTTCTTTTTGGTACCAGGGATCAAACTCAGGACCTTGCACTTGCCAGGCAGGCACTGTGCCACTGACTTTTTGAGAGACAGGGTTTCCCTATGTAGTGCAGGCTGGCCTTGAACTCATTTTGTAGCCCAGGCTGGGCTCAAACTCATGGCAATCCTCCTGCCTCAGCTGGGATTACAGGTGTGTGCCACCACACCCAGCCAGCAAATGTTTCCTATGATGATCTCAGGAATGTAAAACACTTATGTGATATCTTGTTTTATTGACATCTTATTTCCCTAAGTGCATGTTGTACAATATAGTAGGAAGCTCCTGACAAAACAGGAAGAGAGGTAACAAGACTGCCACACAGGAAAGGAAAGCTAAACACAGGTACTGTCTGTATAAGAGAGATGTGGGCAGGTAACATGAAGTCGCCATGTGTGAAGACTGTCTTGGGGGTGACAGTTGAAGCAAAGCTTATTTTTATGTAGAGTTCTATGGATATTTTCATTGTAGTTCAAACAGGAATTTACTTCTGATGTTATCTTTTAGGTTTTGTAAGCAACTACACAGTTGATGTGAAAATGTTACTATCTATTCTAAATGCACAATACCTATTAAGAATTTAATACTTTATTTTATTCATATTTTATATTCCTGTTAACTACACACTGTATAATAAGAACCTCCTAACAAAATAACAAGACCACTGAAATGTCAAGTATGTCCTACAAAAAGGTCAAGAAAGCAAAACACATGTGCTGTCAGTGTAAGCAATATGTGCGCATGGAATGTGCTGTTGTTACGTGTACAGACTGCTGTAGGTGTGATAACTGAAGTAACGACTTTTTTTTGTAGAGTGCCACTGGTATTTTCATTGTAGCTCATATGGGAATTTACTTCTAATGTTCTTTTTCAGATTTTGGACACCAGTTGATGTTGAAAATTTTAATACTTTTTTATAAACAGTAACTATTTAAAACTCAATACTTTATTTCTGTCAATTTTTTTTCCTGTTAAGTACTCATTGTTTAATAAAACTCATAAAATTAAAATAAATATTTCATCAATAGAAATATTCTAGAGAATAAACATGGGTCTGACAGACCCACATTTATGTGTGCCTTGATGACAAAATTAGTCTTACGCTCTCCGGGCTACCCATGTACCTATAAATTTCATAGCCAGAACATAGATGTCATTTTCATACTATGAAATTTAGTGCATCCACTAGAAAATGTGTATTTTTAAGACGTACACAAACAGAACACAGCATTTCATTTTGTTGGGGAAAAAAAAAAGATGACACTTATGAGAAACAGTGTATAAAAAGGGAGATCAAGATATTCACATATTAATTCCTGAAAGATGACAGGATTTATCTTCAGCCTTATGTCTTTTATGTCTAACTATATGTGTTTATATATTTTAAGGCGGGTATCCTGGGGAGCAAGCCCAGAACCTTGTGCATGCTAGGCAGTATTTTTACAGTGCTAGGACTGCACCCTTGCATATGCGAAACTCTCCCTCTACCACTGAGCTAGTCTCCCAGCTTACTTTCTTTTCTTTTTTTCACAGTCCTGGGTATGGATCCCAGGGCCTCGGGCATAGTAGACCAAGTACTCCACCACTGAGCTACATTCCCAGTCCCCAGTTTAAAAAAGAAAAATGAATGCTTAACATTTGTATAATGAAAAAAAAAATACTATTTATATTTGGGGGAAAATATCCACCATTTAAAGGAAGAGACTGCAACTGTGGAACATGTCCTGGGTAGCTAAAGACCAAATATTTATTTATTTAAGCACAAACTTTGGGTTAAAGGGACCATCCATGAAGATGACTCTTCCCCTCACTTTGAAATTGCAAAGCACAGGTGGAAATTTCTAGGTGATCTTGCTATGTGTACTAAGCATTTCTAATACATTAGCACTCAAACAAAGTGAAACAAACTAATACCAATCTTTAGGCTGTAACACATGAACCACAAATAAGACAAAAGCCACAAAAGGAGCTATGAAAAGTGTTTCCTTCCCCACTTGCCCCTAGCCTCCTCTCTGGAGGAAAGCACTACTATATTATTAATTTGCTGTGCTTTCTCCCTGAGTCCTGGTAAAACATGCACATAAATAGATACTTTCTTATCAGACACTGAATGAGAGCCTATTATATTTACTGTTCTGTAACACACTTTTTTCTTTCAGCAGCACTTAGGGAGACCTTTCCACATTACCACATTATAGCTGCCTCAATCTATTTAACTGCTGTATTTCATGGATGTAGCATAGTTTTCTATCAGTTCAGATTTTGTTCTTTCCCTAATCGATATATTGCTGCCATGACTATTTCTATAAATTACTGGGTTCAAGTAAAAAAAGTTGCCAAACAATTTTTGCGGGGTACTGGGTTTTGAACCTAGGACCTTTATAGTGAACTATATCATTCCCTGGCCAAGTTTTATTTTGAAGCACAGTCTTGTTAAGTTGCCCAGGAGAGGCTCAAATTTACAATCCTCCTGCCTCAGTCTCTCTTGGAGGGCTGGGATTACCCGCCTGTGACACCATGTCTGACTACCAAAATGCTTTTAACAAAGTATATCAGTAGGTGAGAGTTTATCTCTCTGCATGTTTGCCAGTTAGGATATTACCAAGGTATCTGAGCTGCGTTAACTTAATGTGTAGTTTCACCTGGCATTCACCTTATGAGGAAGATGTGAAAAGTTTTTCATATATTTAAGAGTAATTTGTGGTTTTTTACTTAGCAGTCTGTCATTCATTCTTTGATTTTGTTCATGGTATGTTTTACATCTTTCAACTGTTTGGAATGCATCCTGGTACAGAGATAAAGAAGGAATCTAAAACTTTTCTCTCAGTGGACTACTCAATTATCTCCCTCCCCAACTAGTACATAATCCATTGAAAGCTTGCTAATGCTGTCACCTTTAAGATAAACTAAATTCCATTATAAATCTGAGCATTTTCCCCTTAGACTTTCTAATATTTTCTATCGATCACCTATGTACAATGCAGATATCACTATTTTTATTTTTTATTTTTGGCGGTACTGAGGCTTGAAATCAGGGACTGTATACTTAGCTACATCTCCAGCTCTTTTAATTTTGAGACAGTGTCTCACTAAATTGTCTAATGTAGGCTCAAATTTATGACCCTCCTGCCTCAGCCTCCAAAGTGCTGAGATTACAACAGTGTGCCACCATGCCAGGCACAGGTATCACTATGTTAATACTGCAGTTCTATAACTTCTTATCAGGTAGGCTAAGGACCCCTACATTATTTCTCAAGTCCACAAACCTTAGGTAGTCTCACTTATTTTTCCAAATAAACTTTAGCGCTATCTTGTCCAGATTAAAAATAAATCCAATTTAGGGTTAAAAATAAATCCTATTAAAAATAAAGTCGAGTAATTTTTATTGGGTTTATAGCAAATTTTAAAATAAAGAAAAATCAACATCTCATGGTATCGAGCCTTTCTATGCAACCTTGTACAATTTTGCATTTGTTTAAATCTTTAAGCCATTCAGAAGCACTTAAAAATTTCTTGTAACATCTTGCACAACCATTATTTAATCCTCAGGTTGGTTTTTATTTTTGCTGTTATCATAAATGAGACTTTTCCTTTTTGGCATTCCAACCTAATGTTTACGTGAACATGCTGATATGCTTTTATAAATGTTATATGCAATTGTCTTACCAAACTGACTTAGTGATTCTATTTTTGGTAAGTTCTGATGCCAACTTATCTCTAAATATTGATAATTTAACTTTTTCCAAAATAGCTCATTCCTTTCTCCCACTTAACTGTGTTTGCCAGAGCAAAATTAGACAACAGTGTAATAAACGAAACCATCTCTTTGTTCCTGACCTTAATACACAAGCTTTTAGTTTCCCTGTAAGGATGACACTGGCTTTGAGAATGAGATCTGTCTGTTTTATCATGTGAGAGAAGTAACCATCCACAGTATTTGTTTTATTAAGGAATCTGATCAGGAAGTGGTGCTAAATTTTACCTTTACTCTGTACAGAAATGGTCTACTCACTGAATTTTTTAACTAGTGAAATACTACAATGACATTTCTTAATAATGAATCACTCTTCCATTCTGCAAATGAACTCTATTTGGCTATCATGTACTATTCTTTTAATATGCATTCTATGTGTTAATATTTATTCTTTTTGCATCAGTAAATAGGACTGCTCTACAGTTTCCCATACTCTTATGCTGGCTTCATAAAATGAATCCAGGCTGGGCATGGCGGCTGAGGCAGGAAACTATCAAATTTGAGTCTAGTCTCAGTAACTTAGCAAGATCCCATCTCACTAATAATAATGATAAACATCACTTCCATCGTAATAAACTGGAAGCTTTTCTTCTTTATCTATGTTCTGTGACAGTTAAAATACTATTAGAGCTATATGCCTTGAAGATTTAATAGTAATCATTTAGGCCTCTAGTACTGATACTGGTAGAGGTGGGGTGTCTGATTTATTTCACTTAACATTACTGTCTCAACACAAATGACTTAAATTTATCTTATTTGTGGCAGAGTAGTACTCTATCAGTTTATTCTTCAATTTATTAGTTTTACTGCCTCCCTTTCCTTCTAATTTAAGAAGTAGAAAGGTTTGCAAACCATGTTCCGCACTGAGGCTGAGGAAGGACAGGCTGATAAATCTCTGAGCCCAACTATTCTCATCAATAGAACAGCTCTTATTGTTACTTGACATGTGAAAATTTCACATACAATTTGATAAAAACAACAGAAGAGTCTAAAAATCAATGAATTGCTGCTTATATACCGTCTTAAAACCTTTTCAAACATTCTGATTCATGCCTTTTTTTTTTGAGGCAGGGTCTTACTCTGTATTTCAGGTTGACCTTAAGCTTACTATGTGACCCAGGCTGACCTTGCACTCAGGGTGATCCTCCTGCCTCAGCCTCCTGAGGGCTGGGATCACAGGTGTGTGCCATCACACGTGGCTGAGAACATCATTATCAATAATATAACTCATCTTTTATGTTCCAAGTATGACATTTATGTGGAAACAATTATAACTTAAAAATAATTCATCAATAAGGGACACGGCTTTCAGATCAGTTATGGAGCCCAAACACAGTTTAAAGAGACTAAAAATTCCACCACTTACCCCAAGTAAATGAATGAAAAGAAGAATAGCAACAATAGAGATGAAATAATAAGCCAGGCATGGATGACCTAGAAAAGAAAAATTTTAATATAGTCAACAGATTACTAGCTTAGTTATTTCACAAAATAATGCTGGGTTAATCTTTACCAAGGCAATAGGCCAAATATGTTAATATTTTAATATGCATTCTTTTTTTAACTAGTGAAGAAATACATACATCTATCTATCTATCTGTCACCTACATTGTATTTCCCTTGCACCTTCTCTGTTCAGGTTTTGTAGACTTACTATCATGTTTGTTTTTTTTTTTTTTTTTTTTTGTCTTTTTTTGAGACAAGGTCTTGCTATGCAGTTCGGGCTGGCCTTCAGCTTACTTTGTAACCTAGGCTGGCCTCGAACTCATAACGATCCTCCTGCCTCAGCCTCCCGAGTCCTGGGATTACAGGCATGCGTCACCACGCTCAGTGTAGACTTACTATTATGTTTGTAGGTGCTCTTTATGTTGTAAAAATATTAGCCTTTGCCTGTAATAATGATTGTAAACAGTTTTCCTAATGAGGTTGATCATTTATGTTATGGTTTCCTGAATCATTACCTGAATTCCAAGCCTCTACTGATGATGATTAAATAGCATCCCTCTTTCCTAGGACATCTGATAGTGGGCAGTTCCTTATCATCTTACAGAAATTTCTAGTTAGCTTCCTTATACTAAGTACGGGCTGAGAAAGACAAGAGCCCTGCTTCAGTATATGAATATCTCCTCAAAACTCAACTCTCCAGGCAGAAATTATGTGACTTTAGTAAGTTATAGTTCCATTTATAGCAAACGATGTGCAATTACTGTCTTTTCTGTTGTTACTTTTTTAAGGATCACTTGGTCTTTTCTAGCTTCTCGTAATTTTTGAAGGCATTGCACAATCAACCAGATATAAGAAGTCCTTGGGTTAATTTCCAAAGAGACTCTGGCAAGCTTCTGAATTTCTGACTCAAAAGCTCCCTTACTTTACACTCAGAGTCAAGGTAAACAGTCTCTGTAGCGCTGCCTATACTTGCTGAGACACGAACATTAAAAACAAAACACAAACAGACAAGCGTTGAGTGTGGCTATCAGCACTTCAGACTGTGAAATTCAGCATGATTAAAGGATGCACAGAATGGACCAAGACATAGTATGGCAGGTTCTAGACATCATAAACATACCCTGCCCGGTCTCTCCCACCACATGCAACTGTAAAACTGGACAGGAAGTGTGCCGCAGCTAGCTAGACTACGGAAAGCAGTGGGCCGGGACTGGAAGTACCACAAATTAACAATGAATTTACCAGCTTCCCCTTTCAGGTCCACCTTTCTCCACCTGAACTCAGCACCACCCAGGAGAGCATCAGTACAACGGTGGGAGCTGCACAAGTCTGGTGGCCTCAGGAGCAGAGTGGGTCTCCTGACACCCAGAGAACTGGAAACCCTTGTTTTCTTTCTTCTTCTTTTTTTTCTGCTCTCTCATGCCCAGCATCCCCACAATGCGAGGCAGTAGCAGTGGGGACACAGAACCCTATAGTTCAGGGAGAGGAGAACCTTCCTTTCTGACTGCAGGAGCTGTAGTCCTCAGAGAGCAGACAAACAATCCTTGCTTTGTTTCTCTCTCTGACCTCCCAACTCCTGGCCCCGACACTAGGAAAATACTAGGTTGGAAGAATGGAAGAAAGCAGCTCAGAGAAGCAAGGAAGTACCAGGGAGGTCACAGAAAAAGAGAAACTCTCAAGAGCAACCTTTCAAAGCTGTGCAGGAACTCAGGGCCCCTGCAAGGGCTCGATCTGAGCTTTCGGACTCTGAAACCAAATTCTACACACAGACGGTGACCAGTGGTACACGCTCAGGCTCCATCTGAGAAGCAGTGCGAAGCTTTGGATCTGCCATGGTAACCACAGCCTACTGCAGGCTCGCTGGGATGGGGGACCTAAACCCATCAGCTCAACTGGCTAACACAACAAAAATATCAACGTTCTCCATGGAGTTTAAACAGGAGCAGTGCTTACAATGCACAACATAATATTTTACATGTCTTTTAAATATTTTAAAAGATATGATCCAACAACTAGAAAATGTCAACTTGCATGGAAAAAGACTCACTAAACACCAAGACTAAGATGACACAGATGTTAGAATTCTTTTTCTTCAGTTGTAAATACTGAAGTTTATTTTTAAATACCATTTACCAATTTATGAATCATTCCTTCCTTCTTCCTTTCCTTCCTTTTTTTTTGATGCCAGAATTCTAAGTTTTTAAAGCAACTGCTATAAAAATACTCCAAGAAGTAATGGTAAACACTTGAAATGGAAGGAAATACAAAAAAAAAAAAAAAAAGAAGTAAGGAAATACACAAAGTTGAGGGAGGGGAGACTAAAGAACCAAATGGAAATTTTAAAGCTAAAAAATACAGTAAAAAAAAAAAAAAAAAAAGTTGCTCAGTGGATGAACAGCAGCAGAATGCAGATGACAATAAAAGAGTCAGTGAACTGGAAGCTGGGTCAAGAGAAATTACTCAAATGGAGTAACGGCTGGAAAACCATTAGTAAATGAATGAGCAGAGCACCGCAGAGACCTGTGGAACAATAGCTTGGACTAAGTAATTCCTTATTTGAAACATTTGGGACCAGAATTGATTATTTCAGAGATTTTTGGACTTTGGAATATTTGCATTCACTACTAGGTTGAAGATCTAATCAAAACAAATCCAGTACGTGAAATGCTCTGATTTTGGCACTAAATGACTCCCCATAATGGGAGCTGTAGATATAGCTAAATGGCAGAGTATACACTTAGCATACCCAAGGCCCTGTGCAATCCCCAGCACACACCCCCTACCTCCCAATTTCAAATATGGCACTCCAAAAACTGAGCAAGTTGGGTGTGGTGGCACATATCTGTAATCCCAGCACTTGGGAGGCTGAGGCAGGAGGATAACTGTGAGTCTGAGGCCAGTCTGGGCTATAAAGTGAGTTCAAGACCAGACCAGGCTGAACTGTACAGTGAAACCCTGCCACCACACTCTATAAAACTTTGAGTAGAGGGTGCTGGCATGAGCCTATGGCTGAGAGAGGAAGGCTACTTAAGCCCAGCAGTTTAGGGCCTGCCTAGGCAAGATGGGGGAGATTCAAAAGAAAGACAGAAAGAAAGCAGCTTCAAGTTAGGGATGCCTAACCTGTAAAAGGTTATTTGTGTTATCAGTCTCAGAAGATGAAGGTAAAGAATGTGATTCAAAAACTTTTTTTGAAGAAAATTTTGATTGAAATCTTTCCAAATTTGGCAATAAGACATAAATTAGAGATCAAGAAGCTCAGTGAGCCGGGCATGGTGGTGCACGCCTGTGATCCCAGCACTCAGGAGGCTGAGGCAGGAGGATCGCTGTGAGTTCGAGACCAGTCTGGGCTACAAAGTGAGGTCAAGGCCAGCCTGAGCTGCATAGCGAGACCCTGTCTCAAAAAGACCAAAAAAAAAAAAAAAGCAGCTCAGTGAACACCAAACAGGAAAAACAAACTCACAGTCACATAATGAAAATGCTGAGAACTAAGGACAATCTCCCAAGTGAACAGAAAAAAAAGACATTACTTATAGGAGAAGGATGTGAATCTGATTCTCACTAGAAGCCATCAAGGCTGAAAATGAAATACTTTTTTTTCTTGTGGCACTGGGGACTGAAATAATACTCACTTTAAAATGCTGAAAGAAAAGAAGCAAGACAGAATTCCAAGTCTGGAAACGACGTCTTTCAGTGGTAAAGGTGGAGTGAAAGTACTGTAGGAGCCAGGCAGGCTATGGAGACTGAAGCCAGCCAAGTTGCTCTAAAGAACTACTCGGAGAGGGCAGATAATGCTGGAAGGAAACTTAGAGCATCAAGAACAAAAGAACCACCGCCACAAAACCACCATAATAGATTATTTTCCTCTTAGTGTGTTCTTTCACCCCACCCCTTTCGTTTTTTGGTACAAGGGTCTGAACCTAGAGCTCTGCCTATACTACACTAGTGCTCTACCACTGAGCTCCACTCCCAGCCTTTAATATAGTCCTCAAAATATGCTGGATGGGTGAATGAAAATTGTAACACTGTATGATGGGCAAACTTTTTTTTTTGAAGAGGAAGTCACAGTATGTTGCCCAGGCTGGCCGTGAATTATCCTCCTGCCTCAACCTCCCTATGGGTACCTGCGATTATAGCATGCGCCATCGTGCCTCGTTTTCTGATGAGCTTTTTATTTTTTATTTTAAAGATAAAAGAATAGCCGGGTGTGGTGGCGCACGTCTGTCATCCCAGCACTCGGGAGGCTGAGGCAGGAGGATCACTACGAGTTCGAGACCAGCCTGAACTACAAAGTAAGCTCAAGGCCAGCCTGAACTGCATAGCGAGACCCCGTCTCAAAAAGACCAAAAAAAAAAAAAGATAAAAGAATGAAAACATATTAACAAACATATTAACAAATACACATACAATTACAAAATAACATATGTAGATTTAACATATGTAGATTTAATATGTAAATCAACAGTTATGTAAAGAGAGGAGAGTAAAGAGATGGTAGGATTCTTACATTTCACTTGCAGCAGTATGATCCTAAGTAGACCGTGAGGAGTTAAACTAGATATGCTGAAAAATCCTGTATCTAAAGAAACTGGATTTATAACTTGCAATATTTAAAAAATGGAAATGCCAGGCTTTTACAAAGTCTACTAAACATTTCAAGAAATGGTATCAGCCTCTCCTAGAAAACAGAATAGAGGGAACATGCACTTCCCAACCCATTCTATGAAATCACTGTTATCCTGAATTAGGATTTAGACAAAAAATGTTCTCCAAGACCCCATGCTATCACAGACAGGCTGCTGGAAGGTGACTGGATTACGGCATCCCCCCAGCTGGCTACCGTTTGGAGGCGGAGTCTGGCAGGAAGAGGAGGCCCCGGGCATGACCTGAAAAGGTGTCTTTCCCCGCCCAGACCCTCCCTTCCTTCTCTGCTTCTGGTTGCGAGCAGTGGGCAGCTCCCCTCCACCCGGCCCTTCTGCTGGGCCTCCCCT